CCTGAACCACTGGACCATCCTACAGCTCTGAGAGTTTGACTCTGCCTGTCTCAGTGTGAAGACAACTACTCATCCCAAGAGTTTTTAACAGGATAACACCGGCTACTTTTCATGATCTCTCAATTACTAAGACAGCTCCCTTAAGATTTACTCCCCTTTAAAGTTCTGAAGCATGAACAAGAAAACGCAGACTCAAAATGGAGCCTATAAATGTGATCCTGATAAAAAAAACTCAGCCATAAAAATGTAAAAAAAATTAAATAAATCAAGACAGCTGAGGAGCTTATGAGGTGACAGTTTGACTAGACAGCTCCCTTAAGATTTACTCCCCTTTAAAGTTCTGAAGCATGAACAAGAAAACGCAGACTCAAAATGGAGCCTATAAATGTGATCCTGATAAAAAAAACTCAGCCATAAAAATGTAAAAAAAATAAAATAAATCAAGACAGCTGAGGAGCTTATGAGGTGACAGTTTGACTGTGTTGACAGTCGCCTCTCTTTGATGTCATCATTCTTCCTGTGGTTGGCTGGGTTCAGGGATTCAGGGCACATTTGACAGGTAGGCTCGGGAGCGTTTAGCATGTTTGCCCGGCAAGCCTCTGACAAATCAGCTGTTTAGGAGCTGTCAGTATGGTTGAGCAGCAAGGGGCCTGACATGGCCCGAGCAGATGGAGTCATGGACACAACAAGACACCAAATTCATATTCCATTCCAAAACACAGAGAGCTTCACGACCATCACAGAAGGAATGAAATAAAGTTACAGTCTCAGAGACTGAAGGATATTATACACACTAACACAATGTATGGAAGCTACGAGGATTGCTATTACTTTTCCTAAAGTGTCAGACTTTTATGTTCGGTGGATGATCAAAAGGGCCAAAAAAAACTTTATCTAGATTATTTAACTTTCCATGGCTGGAATTTTTGTGCAATCACCAAAGTATCAAATCTATTTGATTCACTCAGTGGTGGAAAATAAAGCAACAGTTGAAAGAAAATTCAAGATCTTTAGACCAAATGTCAGAGGAGACGCAAGAGCAGGCCTAGTGTTACACTGGTTTGAGCGAGGCACATGAAAGGTCTGGATGGGTAATTGCACAAGCTGCTGTCTCAAGATGAATGATGAGACTAGCAATGAGAGACTCACAGATGCAGATTAGACAAGGCTTGTCCTTCATTTCATCCAGCAAGTGCAGATAACAAGCAGTACACACTTTCAAAGGGGCATACGTTTTCTCAACAGAGGCATTATTTGCATTTCCTTATCATTACTCTTCTCATTGTAACTAGTGGCAGAGATTCAGGCCTGAAGAGAACACAACTATGTTACACAGTTCAAAGTTAGCTTTCAGTTCAAGCATGATATGGACTCTTACCATCAAGAGACAGCAAGCAACATGGCTTAATGAGAGAGAGAGAGCGAGAGAGAGAGAGAGAGAGAGAGAATATAACTCCGATTGTATTCGGCTGAAAGAAGAAAGTCATATACACCAAGGATGGCTTGAGGGTGAGTAAATCATAGGGTAATTTTCATTTTTGGGTGAAATATCCCTTTAATAAATCTGAAGTACCCTGCTAACCTTTGATTAAGTGGATCCAGGAAAAATGATTCTACAGGCCCTGTTTGAGTACTCTCAAAAACTCTGCTCAAAGCTCAGGACTGCGAAAGATCAGATATCATATTTGCATACGTGTGCAATGGCCCGTATCGCAAGGAAAAAGAACGGAGTCCCTTTTTAACAAACTGCCACCGAGCTCCAGCAAAATAATAACAGAATTAACAATTACATGACAGCTAATCACAACGGGCCGATGATTACAAACAAAAGCCCTGTCGCCATCAAACCCCTCCACAGTTGCAGTCATTTCGACTTTAAAAGCCTGCTCTCAATGTACCCTTTTCTCCCTACTTTCTTGTTCTAACTGAGCCCTGAGGGTTTCCACACTCTAGTTGAATTTGCATGTCAAAATTTCAGCTAAAACTTCAGTGGAAGGCAGTTAGCAGCTCTCGGCTCTGAAAAAAAACGAGAACAGAGAGGCTCCTTCTGTCCTGTATATGTGTGCAGGTTCTGCATAGCACAAAAACGAAACCCGCTTTCCTGAGAGGTCAGGAACTTATCACTGAGCAGAGCGAGTTACTCGAGGACAGATGCAGACACATCTCCTAATTGACAATTGCTCAGCTGTTTTCACTCCTTGGTGATATGTTAAGAGCAAGATGGCAAAATGTGGCGCGGGGTTAAAAATAACTCTTTTTGAAGTCCAGACCAGCAACCGACTGCTGGTAGTGCAAAACTAATGTGCTTAAGAGCAGGTACAAAGCATGCTGTCTTCACGCCAGGCCTGGGGTTGATTGACTCTTCTGATTGGCCGTCCTTGAGGTGGGACCCAGACTGGCAGTGCCTGTCTGGGTCCTGGTAAATCACGTCTGTCTTTCACGCTCTAAAAAGTCTACCTTTGAAGGGGGCCAGTGGCTCTGCCTGGCACACTCTCAAAAATCACAGGCAGCGAGAGGAAGCGGTGCCACAAGCCAATTATCTGCCCCTGGGTGAACAGAGGAGGAAAAAAAGGAAGGAAAATGAAAAGACAGGTGGGGGATCAGAGTGCTGTCAGAGTGGACTCTCCACATTAGTGCATACAGTGCTGCCCCGCTGATGATGCTGATGGGCACTGGGGCAATCTTGCCCTTATACTTACTCCACAGCAGCCTTGTAGATAAACTAGGAAAAAGAGTCAACACCTCCAAAGTGGCAAAATCAGTGGTGATAGAACTGAAGTTGGCCACCAAAACTCTATATGTGACCCTGGACCGCAAAACCAGTCATAAGGGTGAATTTTTTAAAATTACGATTTATACATCATCTGAAAGTTGAATAATTAAGCTTTCCATTGATGTATGGTTTGTTAGGATAGGACAATATTTGGCAGGGATACAACTATTTGAAAATCTGGAATCTGAGGGTGTAAAAAAATCTAAATACTGAGAAAATCGCCTTTAAAGTTGTCCAAATGAAGTTCTTAGCAATGCATGTTACTAATCAAAAATTAAGTTTTGATATATTTACGGTAGGAAATTACAAAATATCTTCATGGAACATGATCTTTACTTAACATCCTAATGATTTTTGGCATAAAAGAAAAATCGATAATTTTGACCCATACAATGTTTTTTTGGCTATTGCTAAAAATATACCCAAGCGACTTAAGACTGGTTTTGTGGTCCAGGGTCACATATATCAATACATTCCAGGGTCAAAAATGGTTGCTTGGCGCAAAAAATGCCACTAAAATTGACCATATTTTAAGATTTCAATAAAAAAACCCCTGCACAATTAAACTAAATATATTACTGCAGTTGTGATTAAAAAATGAAAGCTGAAAACAAATGGCAAGTGTCAATTGTGTTTACATTACACTTAGATCTGCTCATGTTGAAATAGATTTCTTTTTACACATTTTTGGCAGCGCGATTATTATAACCAATCATAGAATGAAGACATGGACTATTTTAGTGATGGGGAACGTTGTTTGCACGATTTCTGTATGTAAATTAATCCAAGTTTGAATAACCATTTTGTTTTAACCAAAAACCAATGTGAACCAATGTGTAAAAAAAAAAAAAAAACACTATTTCATAAATGGTTCTTAACTTCTTGTGTTTGTGTAGTAAGAAATTGATGTCCCACTTCATATTTTATGTATACTATTAATTTACATTAATATTAAATATTACAATATCAAACGCAGTAATCAACAATAATGATTTTTGTTGCCACCCTACACTTTAATGAGTTCCTTTTTTTTTATTAATGTACTTTATGTAGGTTATTTACATCATGCAACTGTTGTGTAAATACATGTGTGCCACCTTTGAGCAGCATTCAACATAAATGTCATGTCAGATGCAGCTGTTCCACCTTTGCAGTGTAGGGATGGCTTTTGTTGATGCTGATCAAATTTTATATCTTCTGTAGTATTCTGATTGATTGAAGTAATTGATTAAATGTAAATATTTGTCATAAAAGACTACACATTTTAATAAGGCAATTTCCCTTACAAAGGTAAAAAATGCCCCTGGAATTGATTTAAATTAAGGGGCAAATATTGTCCCTTAATGAAAAAGTTGATTTCTACAGTTTGATCTTGTTATGTGGTTCAGTCAGATCAGTCAGTCAGTCAGAGAACAGAGAACAATCAGTCCAGGAAGTGCTGAAGAAGTAGCCAAAAACAGCAGATTACAGCATTGCAACTTCAAAAAATCTTCTGCAGGTTTCAAAACATCACTCTGCACACTTTTTGTTGCAAAACTACCTTTGTGAAATACTTCACAAAAATTGTGAGGGCTGAGATCGGGGCCCAGCCACTAACACTTACAGTGATGTCATGCAAGCTGGTAAGTAGCAGGTGGTGACAGTGGCACTGATGGAAAGTGTTTTTTGGGGTGGCTCTGGCTCTCTTTTCAGTAGCATTCTCTTTATTTTGCCTTTTTGTGCTCTGCTGACATGTTTTCATCTCATATTTTTGGATTACTGTCATTTAAAAAGTGTAAATGTTGCGGCCTACAAACTTTGCCATTGCCAATGTTTTCTGCCAGCTGTGCACAGAATCAACAATCAACTTTCAAATGCATGATACGTTGTTTCCCACAACTGTGAATCCTTTGAAAATACATTTATGTCAGATTAAAAGTTTGTAGATACACCTTGTCATGCTGCTCTGGATGCAGTTTTCTTTGCAGTACAGAGTTGTACCACATTCTAAATTTAAGAAATGGATTCAAAAGTGTGAATCTGGATTTCAACTTTCAAGGCTTTGTCAAGTTAACAATCAAAGTATGTCACTTATAGTAATTCTAGATATTTCTATTGAATTTCAATCCTTTTTAACTCCTAATTACTACTAACCCACCTACTAACCTGCATATTCAGGTGAGCCAAACAATAGAAGGACAAGGAAAAAAGAGAACCTGCCATTATAGAGAAAATCCGCAGTACATACCTTGTTGCCGATGGCTTTTTTAGGTGGGAAATTGAATGTGTCGACTTGTGGGAATTGCGGCCGCAGGTAATTGTGCAGTGCCCTAAACTCAGCATAGCGCCGGTACACATTCCACTCATTGTCCAGGATTCTAATGTACACCTGAAAAAAATAAAATGCATAAAATGTCACAGGTTACAGTGATAAGTATCTGATGTGTCATTTTGCTGTTGTTGGTCTCATTATTATTTGCATCTGTTATAAACCAGGTTTCCCATGGTGCCGTAGCCAGATAGACAAAAGGGACTGTATCTAGAAGAGCACTGCAGGGACAACAACACAAGGAAGAGGAGGGAGATAGGAGGAGAGGGATGCTATTTTCACGCCTCACTTTCTCCTTCAGAGCAGGACAGAGGAACCTGGCTCAAATTACCCAAGCAAGACCTCTGATCACAGCAAAGCGGCACGCTTAAGTCTCTTGAACAGACAGCAGTGAGTCCACCGGGGACGCAAGGCAGAGAGTGTGCACGTCTGTTTTTAGTAACAGGATCTCATGAGAGGTTAGACTCTAACATCACGTTAGCACCTGCGAAGCCATGCTGACAGTGTCAAACTCAGGCTGTTCTGAGGCTACTGGTGTCAGCGTCAGTGCAATAACTTAAAAAAAATCATGCATGCAAACCAGACACCAAAATAACTCAAATGGCCTTAAAAACTAAAACTGCATTCTACAGGCTATTGCAAATTTCCAATGTAATTCTCATTGTTCATGCAACAGCATGCAGCCAGTACCCATAGTAACAGTGACAAAAGGGTAACACTTTAGTTTAGGGACCAATTCTCACTATTAACTAGTTGCTTATTAGCAGGCATATTACTAGCATACTGGCTGATTATTAGCACTTATAAAGTTAGTTAATAGTGACAACTGGTCCTAAACTAAAGTGTGACCGATGAAAGTACACTGTCATTCAAAAGTTTGGGGTTGGTCAGTTTCTTTTTAAAATATTTTAAAGTCTCTTTTGCTCACCAAGGGTGCATTTATTTGATCAAAAATGCAATAAAAACAGAAACATCATGAAATATTATTGCAATTTAAAATAAATGTTTTCTATTTTAATACATTTTAAAATGTAATTCATTTTTAGTGAGCAGCCATTACTGCAGTCTTCAGTTTCACATTATGCTTCAGAAATCGGCTTAATATTTTTGTGAAAACTGGGATACATTTTCTTCAGAATTCTTTGATAAATAGAAAGTTCAAAAGAACAGCATTTATTTTAAACAGAAATATTTAACATTTAAATGCCTTCACTGTCACTTTTTATCGATTTAATTTGTCCTTGCCGAATAAAAGTATGAATTTGTTTAAAAGAATCTTTTAATGGTAATGTATAAATCAAAGATGGTGACTTCTAAAACAATTGACATGATGTTAATTAATTAACTTTTCCATATGAACTACAAACGAGAGTTAATTCATCACACGTTATGAATTTTGAATCGTTTTGAATTTTGCAGCATTCAAACACACATTAACAAATACGTTGATGAAAAAACATCTCTCGTGATCCATGACCCAGAACAATAACAAAAGGGTACCCACTCTTTCCCATAGTGCACCGGGGGAACGGACATGTAAAAAGCGGAATGACACTAAAAATCACATTGGAAGGTCTTGGGTGTTGAAGATGAGAGTGAGCAGAATAACAAACAAGGCTTAGTCACAAGCAGCAGGCCATTACAGTTTCACTCATAGCCATTATCTTTAATAGCCTGTGCTCTGTTTGAGTTCAGGCTGGTTTGGCGATTTCATGAATATAGGATGTTGATGCTTTATAAAGTTTAATTTAATTCTCTTTACAAATTAGCTTGATAGCAACTGCTTTATGCAAATCTTATTTATGATTAAACCTTGAAATTCTATAAACATATTAATCAGAGGCATATTTCAAAGAAGCTGCCACAATCATATTAAGACACCCAGAATGATGAACAGACACACTGAATCACACAAACACACACACAAGAGATGTTTCATAGCCTTAACTAAAGGAAATCAAGTTGACAAACTGACGGTGTATTAAAGCTGTCATAATCCTATAGAGGCGGTTTCATTAGCATACATATTTATGGCAACAAATCATCCTCTAAAGAGCAATCACTTCCCCCTCAATAATTGCAAATTAATACCACGAAAAAGTGTTTCATGAAATCCAGCTCTCACTTAAAAATCTTTCTTGACAAAAATAAAACCAACCTCAATTAAAATGAAAGCTTATGGCAACATGTCAAGAAATTCTGGAATTAGCCAAATCAAACAAAACAACATTTAAAAAAAAAGGAGCAAGTGTTGAAAAAATGTAATCAAATTTCACCTGCAGTTCACTCTCAATATTTATTAATCATTAAACATTACAATCTAGATTGTAATGCGAGTTAAGTAACTCTCTGTCATGATGCTTGTGTGTTTCGTGCCATTGCCAGGGCATTTCTAGACAGTGTGAGTTGCTAAGGTGTTCTGAGTGGTTGTAGCACATTGTTATGCGGTTGCTAGGGTGATCTGAGTGGTTGCTATGCGGTATTCCAAGTGGTTTTAGCATGCTGCTAAAGTGTTCTGATAAGAACATTGCTATGAAGTTGCTAGGGTGTTCTGAGTGGTTTCAGCAGAACACTTAAAGTGTTCTGATTGGTGAATGATGGCACATTGCTATGTGGTTGCTATGGTGTTCTGAATGGCTGTTTAGATGTTGGTGGTTTTATCAAACTGATGATGTGTTCTGGTTGCTATGTGTTTTAAATGGTTGCTAAGATGTTCTAAGCAGTTAGTTCACTGTTAAAGTACACATGAAATCAAAATTGACTATATTTATTTCGTTAGAGCACACTGCTATTTTTGTGGTGAACAATTCATCCGTGCAAGTCAATAATAAAAAAAAAATTTATAGTTTGCCTTTGTAATCTTTAATCCAAATCTGAAAATGCGCCTCCCCGCTGAAATGACGGACCTTCTCCGATGACGTCAGTTTGACGGCTTGGGCTTGAGCATAACATCCTTAAACACGCCCCTCCAACTGTCAGTGTTGTTCTGAATGAAATGCCTACTTTACTATATCCAATCAGTTCGCAGTAGAAAAAACTGTTTTTCACATTCAATATTCCGTTTCTCTATGAAGTACGTCACAATACGGAAGTCGGCCGCAACTTCCGGTTCACACAGACTTTAAAGTGTTCTGATTGGTGGTAGTACATTGCTATGCAGTTGCTAGGGTGTTCTGAGAGGTTTTAGCACACTGTAAAAGTGTTTTGATTGGTGTTAGCATATTTATAAGTGGTTGCTATGATGTTCTGAGTGGTTTTAGCACACAGTTAAAAGAGTATTGATTAGTGTTAGTACATTGCTAAGTGGTGGCTAGGGTATTCTGAATTGCTATATGGTATGTAAAGTGTTCCAATTGGTGTTAGCATATTGCTCAGCGGTTGCTAGGGTGATCTGATTGGTTGCTATGATGTTTTGAGTGGTTTTAGCACACAGTTAAAGTGTTCTGATCAGTATTAGTACATTGCTAAGCGGTTGTTATAAGGTGTTTTGAGTTATTGCTATGCGATATGTAAAGTGTTCTGATTGGTGTTAGTACATTGCTAAGGAGTTGTTAGGTTGTTCTGAGGGGTTACTATGTGGTTAATAAGATGTTCCGAGTGGTTTTAGGACACTGCTAAAGTGCTCTGATTAGTGTTAACGTATTGTGAAGCGGTTGCTATGGTAGAGTTATTGCTACGTATGTGGTAGCTAAGATGTTTTGAGTGGTTTTAAAACACTGCTAAAGTGTGCTCATTGGTGTTAGCATATTGCTATGCGGTTGCTACGGTTTTCTGTCTGGTGTTAGTACATTGCTACGTGGTTGATAAGGTGTTCTGAGTGGTTTTAGCACCAGGGTTGGCCCTGGTGCTAAAAACATTTTGACCCTTTAAAAAAAACATGCAACCAGCCTTTTCAGTTAGCAACCTGCAGAGTGCAGACACTACCAGGCCTCACAAAAATGCAGGAGAAATCAGAAAGCCAAGCCCGTAATGCGTTTTTTTGTCATGGAAATACAAAGACAATTTTACTTATAAATGTGAAAAAGGATGTAACCACAGTGCAATCAAATTTTTGTTTACCTGCAACAAAACTTCCCTCGACTTCAAAGGAACTTCTAACCTTGAAAAAGCATCTTAAAGGAAGTTGTTCTCAGTCTTTAAAAACCAGAGCTGCCAACACTGTTCTCATTTTCACGGACACAGTGCCAGTGAGGTTTGTCTGTACGAGTTCTTGTTTTTCCATACAGTATTTATATCATATGGCATATTTAAGCAATATCAATCGTGGAAGAAGAGTGCTGTTTTCCTGAATATTAGCATAATTGCAAATGTGATACTGATTTTATGCAATTCAAAAACAACAAGTTAATATAAAGTGACTGACTTTAAAGAACAGTATTGTCTGATTTGCTCTCTATCGCCAACAAAAATATTCCCAAATACGAGTGTCTGTTTGCACAAAGTGCAGAAAGCCCACCTTGTTGGCAGAGGCTATTTACATAGACATGATTACAAAAGACGTTTGTCAAACAAAAGTAGCAGTGGCATAGGCAGTAAGACACTTGTTAGTAACCTGACACAATCAACCTGAGTTCTGTTCCCATTCTTCTCCCTTTTCCCATCACATATCCGATCTGAAAGGCATTTATTTTCTATAAAAATGAAGGAAATATTTTTAAAAAGTGGAAATAAGGCAGCATCCGTTTAATAATTTTAATAAATATCATAATTCACACAATATGTTATTATTGCATACTGATTTATAATGTACCACAATACTGAGGTGCAAATATCTGCCACTATTTGCAAGTATAACTAGCATCTAATTACTATTGTACTTACTTCAAAGAAAATACTACTATTTTTACATAGTGTAAATAGAATCTATCCTTATTTGCACTTAGTGTGACTAGAATCTATCGCTATTCTATTATCGCTATATATTCTATTATATTATAGCCTACAACACAGTGCTGTTTGGTTCCTGAATGAATCCGCATTTTGAACGAATCGGTTCGAATGCAGTTACATTCATAAAATCACTTGCTTCATTCCTGAATGAATCATTCCTTTAGAACTGA